ATTAAAAAGATGAGATAAAAATTGTTTTAAGATAAATTTATTTTATATAGTTATCTTAATTTATTTAATTAAACAAGTTCAATCTTTTTATATCCATCCCTTTTTTTTCATAACATTAACTGAACACAAGTGAATCACACTATGAGGAGGCTTCTCTTACCAAAAATTCTTGAAGAGCTCTCCAAATGGGAACCGGCATTCTTCCATGCATCTTCTTCTAACTTATTTAAACTACAGCAAATCCCGGTGCCTCCGATAAGATCAAAATCTACTCTCTCAACCAGGGGAAACATAAATGATACACAAACATGGAACATTGCGCGCGATTTGGAAGGTGCCTCCTGCTATATCACTAATTAATTAACTAATAAATCAGTAAGATCTGTCTTGTTCTATCCTTCTTTTCAAACAATTTTTACCTATAATTGTTGTCATGATAGTGGTTGAGGTTAATTTTTGTCATACTTTTTTTTATGATATTTTGATATTTCATAAGGAAACATATATATGAAGTCGAATGTAATTTAACAAAAAAAAAAAGGTGGAATGAATTACAAGAGATATCAATCATAATTTAGGGATTGAAATCATAAGAAATAATTTTAAGAATATTAATCAAAATGGCTACAGATCAGGAGTCTTGGCACCCACAACTAACCTTTTCTTTTCGTTCTTCTTATGTACAGAACTGTTTACATTAAAGGAGATCAATCCAGTAAAGGTTTGGCCGAGACAGGGAGGCTGAGAATAAAGAAAACAACTGAAAGAGGCTGAGAGAAAAAGAGAAGACGGTGATTGCTACCATACTCAATTGGTTCAGAGGCACGTTTATCTAGATATGGAAATGCAACATGGCTGCCTGTTCATGATCCGACAAGTAAACAAGCATATCGTTCATTGCCCTTCCATTGGTAGGCAAGAGCTAGAAAGGCAAGGCTTAAAAGGAAGCAACTTTTGAATATCTAGCGAAACTCTCTCGCTCCAATTTTAGAAATTTCAAAGGCCAGTCTCTGATATCCTTTTTTTTTTTTTTTTATGACCCCAAAAATGCTCCAAATTAAACAACACTCGCCATGTGATGTGAATGAGCAAGTGGGGTTTTCTTAAATCCATACTCCCTTCCACAACCCATAGTATTAATGTTAATACTATCTGCTTTTTTTTTTTTTAATAAATTACTATATGATATTTGATTAATAAAAATAAATGTATGAAATAAATATATTTTAAAGATAATTTCAGAATGAATATTTATATTTTCAAAATAAAAAAATACACGGAGATATACACTTTTTATCTCTATTATCTTTATTTTTTTATGTCACAAGTCACTAGCTAAACGCTACTAAATTATCAGGCAACTGCTCCACGTTATTGTGTCTTGAATCATCCCCACCTCATGTATCCATTAGTCAACCCTAATCGATTGTCGGAATTAAAGCAACCCATACACTGCATCTTCACAAAATCTGATCAATTCAAGATCTTATATTGATTGTAGAGATTTTGGTGCAACTTGCCAGTGATTTTACTACTATTTTTACTATATCAAGAGTCATACATTTTGGCAAGTGAAAGATGCACAATTCTTGTCAAGTTATGCGGTGCTTACAAATAAATGTATAGTGTTATGGCTACCTCATCTCAATATACCCAACATGAATATTTATTCAGAATTTTAACTTAATTTCTAACAATTTGAATTAGCTTGAGCGACCCTTCTAATAAGGACATAACAATCTTTTATATACATGTAGAAGTAGAGACAAATGGATATATTTGGAGCATTTTCATACTTTTTTTTTTATTTACGTGGGGTGTCCGGGCCAGCTTACGCGCACCACGACTAATCCCCATGACCCACTGAATATCTTGCAAGCCCAGTGAATAGGTAAGGCACCGCGGGGGTGACAGACGTGCACGGTAAGGCTCGAACCCAGGTGTAGAGGAAGGGGACAAGCCCCTCCCACCGCTGAGCTAGAACATACTTTATATGCATGCGTCCATGCCCTCACACATTTCTAATAAACTATAACTAAACAAGGGGCAAAGAAACTAATTGAAACCAATTGCAGAAAATTGACCAGGAGCAGTGTTTTTTTCTCTAAAAAAGATTGCCATTGCTAATGGTGAGTAGTCTTAATATACATTTTGCACCACTCAAGACCTAATTGCGTGCTCCTTTGTCGAATTAGGGCTACATAAATCTAGATCAAATTGCACTACTTGCTCTAAATTATATTCATTTATCGAGACCTTAGAACTCCACGATGCTGTAAAAGGCAGACCAGTTTACTATCCATGGCACTGTTTTCGTCTTGTGATCGTACGTAGTGCATGAATTAGGATGCCTATCATTCATTGTCACTTTGGAATATATACATAGAAGTCAACAGCCTTTTATACGTTTATTTATTCAAGGTCGTAGAGGGAATTTGCCTTTTCAAGATTTTTTTAACAATAATGATATTTTTAGATTAGTTTTCATGAACAGGGCTACATCTATCTCCTTCTAATTATCAGGTTTTAGATGGACCATTAAAAAAAAAACAATTGAAAAATCACTCTCATGTAACCTCTCTTGGATTTAATTTCAATCCTATAAAAATAATGCGAGAATTAATTAAATTCATTTATCTTTATTAATTCTCACAAAATATCATGAATAAAACAAAAAATCAGAGTTAAATTTAAGATTGTGACATCACGTTCCTTAAATCTGCTATATATCTTTTAAATTCTTTTTGAAGGGTTTTGATGAGAATATATAATTAACTCCAAGAGATATTTCACCTTAATTATTATAAAATGAAAAAAAAATCAACAACAATTAATATTTATTCGAAGAAGGAGGCAAATATATATCTAATTATTGATATGACGTTACAATCTAACCACGGATCTACGATCTTATTGGAATCCATTAGAGGATTATTATTGCTACGATCATCAATAAGTACAAGAAAATAATCAATTCATATAGTTTTTAACACCATTAATTTTTCTTTTTCAGCTCGTATAGTTACTCGAGTGTTCTTTGTACTCTTAAAATCTTTTAAAAAACAATATCATGATTCCAGATGTAGGAGGTCACTAGATTCCTCTTCTCTTATGTTCTTGTGTCAAAAGTTTTAGCTAGACAATTAATAATTCACATGGAACAAACATACTAATTAACAAGAAAGATCACCTCATAAAAGTTCAAAAGGAAAAAAAAGACAATTATGATATGGCCCCCCTCCTTCATTTTTGAAAAAAATAGCATCTTAGGAGGGAAAGTGTTTCTTAGCACCCATCTTCTTCTTCTTCTTCATTTTATGGATCACAAAAGAATAAAAAATAGTTTTTTATTTAATTATTAAACTAAAAAAAAAGAAGTATTGATAGATCAAAGACTAAGGTAGCAGAAATATCAATAAATTATATTTAGACAAAAAATAAAAATAAAAATAAAAATTTATGTTTTCTAGTTTTATATTCAGAGAATACTCTTGTATTTTGGTTGAGTTAACCGAAAACTTTATCATTTTTAGTTAAATATAATTTATATATTGATCAAAGAGGAAAAGGGGAGAGAAATCCACAATGCAAGACTCCACTCGCTTCAAAGTAAAGTATTGATAGATCAAAGATTAAGGTAGCAGAATTTTTTATTATAGATTTTTTATTTTTTATATTTAGAAAAAAAGTAAAAATTAATTTTTATATTTTATAGTTTTATATTTAGAGGATACTCTTGTATTTTGGTTGAGTTAACCGAAAACTTTATCATTTTTAGTTAAATATAATTTATATATTGATCAAAGAGGAAAAGGGGAGAGAAATCCACAATGCAAGACTCCACTCGCTTCAAAGTCCCCTTGAAGTCCTAACCCATAAAAGACAAAAGACCTATCAATAATAAACATGTCTCACACACTGTCTTGCATGTGAGTGTTGCAAATTTTATTATCTCCTTGATTAATTTAAGTAAAAATGTTATTTTTATCACCTCTTTATACGTGTCACTGTATTTAAATCCTGCTCAGGTCCATTTGCGGCTAGTTCTCGATGACGACGGGTCAGATGGATTGATGCGAGTTAATTCGGAATTATTTAATTTATTTTATTTTATAAGAACAATGAAAAAGGTATTATTTTGAAATAAAAACAATTAATGAATTTTAACCAAGTTTTTTTTTAAATAAATCAAGTCATGAGTCCCTTTAAATTTTTAATTTAATCACATTTAATTAATTTTTCTGTTATTTTTGTTAAAACTTGGTCGAACTTGGACTCCCCATTATATGTTTTCTAGTTTTATATTCAGAGAATACTCTTGTATTTTGGTTGAGTTAACCGAAAACTTTCTCATTTTTAGTTAAATATAATTTATATATTGATAAAAAAGGAAAAGGGGAGAGAAATCCACAATGCAAGACTCCACTCGCTTCAAAGTCCCCTTGAAGTCCAAACCCATAAAAGACAAAAGACCTATCAATAATAAACATGTCTCACACACTGTCTTGCATGTGAGTGTTGCAAATTTTATTATCTCTTTGATTAATTTAAGTAAAAATGTTATTTTTATCACCTCTTTATACGTGTCACTGTATTTAAATCCTGCTCAGGTCCATTTGCGGCTAGTTCTCGATGACGACGGGTCAGATGGATTGATGTGAGTTAATTCGGAATTATTTAATTTTTTTATTTTATAAGAACAATGAAAAAGGTATTATTTTGAAATAAAAACAATTAATGGATTTTAACAAATTTTTTTTTTTAATAAATCAAGCCACGAGTCCATTTAAATTTTTAACTTAATCACATTTAATTAATTTTTCTTTTATTTTTGTTAAAACTTGGTCGAACTTGGACTCCCCATTACTTAATTATAGGCTAACTAACTATGTCGAATCAAGTTTTAAATAAAATAATAATCCATGAGACTAGTTTTTTTTTTTATAATTTAATTCACTAAGTTATTTGTAATGGTATCAAATAGCCACTCACCCCCTACAATACAATATAGCCTTCATGCGATGCTCTCCTCTTTTATAATCCTTATATGTGATCTCCATCTCCCACTCTTGAAGTATTTCCTCTCCCATTACCTTCTGTTTCCTCCCTAGATTCCTCTCTCAAACCACCTTCTTCTCTCTTCTTCTTTTACACACCCCGAGTACTTCTCATTGATCCCATCTAGCTAGCTATAATATTTCTAGCCTTTTGTTGCTTGTTGTACACAGTACATAAAAAATATTGATCAACAATATTATGGCTCTTGAAACATGGCTAATAAAGGTAAAAACAGCAATATCTCACAGTTTTGATTCAGTCATAACCTCCAATCCAATCCCAAAACCATCAAAGAGAGCCTCAGTTGGAGTTTTAGCTTTCGAAATCGCAGGTCTTATGTCAAAGCTTTTCCATCTTTGGCAATCTCTTTCAGACAAGAACATAATTCGTGTGCGCAATGATTCTATCTCTCTTGAAGGAGTACGCAAAATTGTCTCCAACGACGAGTCATTCCTTCTCGGCCTCGCGTGTGCTGAAATGGCTGAGAATCTTAGGCTCATCGCCAAATCTGTTTCGAGATTAAGCAAGAGGTGTGAGGACTCGGGTTTGCGGCGTTTCGAGCGTTTGTTCGATGATTTTACCAACTTGGGGAATGATGCTAATTGTTGGGTCTTGAGTTGGAAAGACATGGAAGCCAAAACCAAGAAGATGGACAGGTACGTGACTGTAACGGCGACGCTGTATAAAGAGATGGAGGAGCTGTCTACATTGGAGAATGGATTAAGGAAAGCTTTACAGTGTGGTGAACTTGAAGGAACAACCAAAGAACAAAAGGTTTTGGATCTTCAACAAAAGATATTGTGGCAGAGACAGGAGGTGAAGTACCTCAAAGAGAGATCTCTTTGGAATAGAAGTTTTGATACGGTTGTCTTGATCCTTGCCAAGTCCATTTTCACTGTTTTAGCAAGGATCAAGCTAGTTTTTGGCATAGCACATGGCTATCCAACTTCTCTACCTCGCAGTCTCTCAGCTTCTGCAACAGTGCATCCAACAGAGAACCCTACTACTTGTAACATTGTGTCGGGGCCACTGAAGAGCTCGAAGCTTGAAGGAAATAAAGACCCGAGCAATGGGTTTTTCGAGTCGAATTCGAAGCTTTTAAAGCCTCCGCCAACTACGCTTGGGGCGGCGGCTTTGGCCCTACACTATGCAAATTTGATTATAGTTATGGAAAAGATGATCAAGTCACCACAACTTGTTGGTGTTGATGCAAGAGATGATCTTTACTCGATGTTACCAAATAGTATAAGGTCTTCACTAAGGGCTAGATTGAAAGGAGTAGGGTTTTCAGCTAGTGATCCAGTCCTTGCAGGAGAATGGAGGGATGCTTTGGGGAGGATATTGGCGTGGTTATCTCCATTAGCACATAACATGATCAAATGGCAAAGTGAAAGAAGCTTTGAGCAGCAAAATTTGTCGCCAAAAACCAATGTTCTTCTTCTGCAAACATTGTTTTTTGCAAACAAGGAGAAGACTGAAGCTGCCATCACAGAACTTTTGGTGGGCTTGAATTATATTTGGAGGTTCGAAAGGGAGATGACTGCCAAGGCCTTTTTTGAATGTGCCAACTTCAATGGATTCTTAAATCCTCATCAGAGCTCCACCTAGGAAGACGTTTTCTTCTTGTTTTCAGTTTTGTTTTCAATCTAAAGTTTATCATGGTTTTGATCTTAAGATTGAACTGAGCTTCAGATCTTTGAGGGTTTGTTTTCCTTCTGGCCCTGATCTGTATATGTCAAGTACAGATATATATATGTATGTACATGTTTCGATCATTTGAGTATTAATTAATCTTGCAAACAATGCACGCTTATGGCTTTCAATGATTGCTCATATGAAATTTCATGTGCAAATATTCCTTTGATTTTTCATTAATTGATTATTTGGTAGCATAATTGGATCAAGATTCTGTACTTTCAAGATAATTTATGCTGCTGTTAGTTATGTATAATTGTTTTCTTTTTTTTAATCAATTTCCAACTGATGAATACGGTTTCTGATGCAAAGTCACATAAACTACTTACAAAAGCAGCAGGTTGGATTGCCATTGTCAATGGGCCCTTCAAGGGAACCTTAGATTTGTGATCAGTACACTAGCTAGTAGTTTAATCTTTATCATAGTCGAATCTTTTCAAAACTATTACACTAATTTATCAATTATGAACCCAGGAGCTAGACTGTATCATAGGCTATCATCACCGCTTGTGTATGGTTAATATCTTTGAAATGGATTTATGTTTTTAAAAAATTGAAGGTATTGTAAGATATGTCTTTTCTATCTCTGTTTTTTTTTTTTTTTTAATGCCCGAGACTGATTCCAGCCATGTACCCATGAAGAGATAAAATGTCAATTTTGATTTTGATTTTTGACCTTTGATCAAACACTGCAGCTAATTTAACATGATCTTTAGAAGCAAGATGGGAGAAGGTAAGATCCAAGCAGTATATCGAGGTCAGATGAATTTCCTGGGATCTAAAATTCTAAACAATTCTGTGTTTGATCTGCTAGGAAAATATTTCTCAAATTACACAAAAATGAGACAAAATATCATGTTTATTATCTTAAAAATCCAATATTTCTTTGAATATAAAATCTCTAAAAACCCATTTCTTTCTTCTGAGGAAGTTAATTAATATACAAGGGCAAATTACTCCCATGCTCAAAATCCACCTGGTTTCATATCTTCTTATAATTCTCTGTTTGTTTATAAGTTTTAATTTGCACTCACAGCTCATAGCTGATGCCTTATTAGGACAAGTTGCTCGTAAATGCTCTCACCTTTGTCACTTTTGTCTCCCTTTAGGGCCCTCATGACTGTCCTTGAGCTCCCTCAATATTCAATCCTGGTTTCTAATACTCCGTCTACAGCTACTAAAGCAATGGGAGCCTTTGCCCATAATTGTTTTTAATCTTTTTGCCCCCACCCACCTCTTCTGTTCTTTTCATGTTTTATGCTCCACCTTTTGGTTAATCAAATTCTAAAGATGTAATGTGTCCGTTTTCAAAACATGAGATCATACATTAAAAATGTGTTTTTACACTGTAATTTAATATATTTATGTTAAAATAATAATAATAATAATAATATATTTTTAGTTAAAAAATATTTTTAAAACGTGTTACTAATAATAATTGCATATCATTAAATTCCTAACCAGAAAAATTATATGATAAAATTAAAAATGATAAAATTAGAAATGCTTAGATGTGTACAGTGACAAATCCAAATATAACATGTTTAGAAATATGGTTGTGTTTAATTTTTTATATCAAAATAATATTTTTTTATTTTTTAAATTTGATTTTTAATATAAAACTTATATGATAAAATTAAAAATGCTTAGATGTGTACAGTGACAAATCCATTATATGATAAAATTAAAAATGATAAAATTAGAAATGCTTAGATGTGTACAGTGACAAATCCAAATATAACATGTTTAGAAATATGGTTGTGTTTAATTTTTTATATCAAAATAATATTTTTTTATTTTTAAAAAATTATTTTTGATATTAATATATC